ACTTTTGCTGTGGACTTCAGAATTTACAATGTATGGCCTGTGGGCAAGTTTCCAAATTCATCTCAAATTCCACCTTCAAATTCATCCTCCAGATAGCTGCCAGAATAATCTAAAAAAGCAAACACAAAGGCATTCGACCTAGTTTTCCAACCCTTTCTTCCATGCCACCTATCTTGCCCTTAATTTTTTGGTGTGGATTTACATTTACTTCTTAATTGGTTATTTTATCAAAACAAAACTTACACAGTCGCACCCTGTCCCTGTAATCTCCATGTTTCCAAATCACAATGATTACGCTACTCTTTCTTGATTTTTAAATTTTAGACATTTTCAATTGATTTTCTGCTCCTGAAGATGGAGAATTAATTTTCTTACACTAACACCTCCTCCTGCCACCTCCAATATAGTTACAGCATAATTTGTGGTTAGATCAATATCCAATAATTACATTTGTATGACTATATTCTTCATAGCTGATCCACAGAGTGTATGGAATTGCAATTCCTATTTTGAAGACCTTTTTTTTTTGTAGTTAATAACTGCTCTGCTTTTTAATAAGCTTACTTTTCTGTGTCAATCACTATTGCAGCTCCAAACTTTCCGAAAGAATGGTAAAAAAAAACTCTTCACAGTCAAAAACACCAGGTAATGAAACAATTCAATCTCCCCTCCAATGGTATCATCCCTCCTGGAGACTCCCATCCTCCTTTTCCAGTGTGAAATGGCTGCTTTCAGTCAGGGTCAGCTACACAGCTGTCACCCTGGAATGTTACCTTGAAACATCCCCTCATAGTCTTTCTGGGATCTGCCTTTATATTCTCCCATTTAAATCACCTGTTTCCTGGATCCTAAATCATCTTTTTTCTTACTTTACCTTCTTGTCTCACTGAAGCATATCCTTGAGAAGCTTTCTGAAAACAGACGCAAAGAAAGTAAAGACCCTACATGTCTGAAAATGCCTTTACTTTTGTGCTCTCTCTTGATAGATAACACGGCTAAGTATAGAGTTCTAACTTAGAAATAATTTTTTCTCTCTCAAAATTATTTAGGCATTGTTCCATTATCTTCCAGTTTCTAATATTGCTACTGAGAAATCCCACGCCAACTTTATTTGATCTGCATTTTCTCTCTGGAAGCTTTTAGAACTTTCTCTTCATCCATACTATTCTGAAGTTTCACCTTTAGGTTTCTTGATATGGGTTTTATTTTTTTGTTTCCATTCATCACGTAGGCACTGGGTGAGATCTTTTAATCCGAAAGCTCATGTGCTACAATTCTGGGAAGTTTTCTTGTGTCTGGGAAATTTTCTTGTATCATTTATTCAACAATTTCCTTCTTTCTATTTTCTCTGTTTCTGATATTCCTATTGGTTGATGTCAAACCTGCTGGACTGATTTGATGATTTCTTTTAATTCTCCGACGATTACTTTAACATAGCACATTTTTCTGGTTTTGTGGATGCCACAACTCCCATTAACTTTCTAAGTTGATAATTATAGTTTTAAAGGTTGTAGTCTCTGTTTCCTCCAAATGCCTTTTCTGTTGTCGTTGTTATTGTGGGTAAGGTATTTTATAACAGATACTCTCCTGAGATATCTAGGCACCCTGGCTATCTTTTCTTATTTAAGAGTATGACAGCTATATGTAGATGGCTGGAGCTTTACAACAGGCACACTTGAACGAGCAGAGCCCAGACATTTTGTTGGAGACTCCTCAACAGTCAGCTCCATCAGCATTGTCCTTAGGCTGGATGGTTTCATCAGTGGATTCCTCAAACACCTGCCTAGTGGGATAGGCGAGCCTGGCAGGATAATGAGGCTGGAGGGTATTCCTATTTGGTACACAGCCTTATCCTTTGCCCTAGGCTACATCTTGGAGCCCTGGTGGCACAGCGGTTAAGAGCTCAGCTGCTAACCAAAAGGTCAGCAGTTCAAATCCACCAGCCGCTCCATGGAAACCCTATGCGACAGTTCTACTCTGTCCTATAGGGTCGCTATGAGTCCGAATCGACTCCACGGCAACAGGTTTGGTATGGTTTAGGCTACAGCTTATGCACTAAAAGCCCAGAGCCTCTCCTGTTCACCGTCTCCAGGGAGTAAACCTCCTGCTGTTTTCTGCCAGGTAGGAAAGGACAGTCACTGGTTGTGCCAAGTAGGAGAAAGGATCTCAGCAAATAACTAACCCCTCCCACTCAAATCCATCTCCTGGCATCAGAAGTCCCTGGTGCCTCCAATTCTGAGTCTGTCTGGGGCCATGAGGGGTGGCTGGGCTGCATCCCCCTACTCCAATCACCATTCTCCACCTCACACACGAGGACAGGTCATCTTCCTCTAGCTCCCTAAGTCAGTTACCACTCATCCATTTCCTCTTTGCATCTTCCACAAGTTTGCAGGCATCTATCTCTTCCCTGTTGTCATCCCTGAGCCTGTTCAGTGTTCTCTTGTGGGTCTCCATCCTCTCTGCTCCTTTACTATCATGTTAGTAGGGTTTCATGAGAGACTAGATGTCAACGGTACATTCAAGCCATCATGTTGCACTGCACAGCAATACTGAACTATGCGTTCCTCCCTCAGCATGCCGTACCTGTACATGGACCTCCAACTCTGCTTATCCTGTTCCCCTGCCTGGGTGATGCTTATCCCTCTTCCCAGTTCAACCTTCAATGCTTCTAATGCTTCAAGATTCAGCTCAGGCATCATCTCAAGAAAGAAACTGCCCCAGACCCTCCCTGCATATTCTGGGCGTTGCTCCAGCCTGACACCCACCACATAGACCACTCTGTGTGGAAGCAATCTTCTTGCACATCTGTCTCCCTACCTAGAGAATAAGAAGGCAAGGATCATGTCTTACCCCGAGTTCTAGCTCTAGTGTGGGGAAAACCACCTGGCACATTATAGGTGCTTACTAATATTTCTTGCCACTACCTCCCTGCCAATTTGTCGTACTGTGGTGGCTTGTTTGCTACTTTAATGCTGGAAGCTATGCCACGAGTATTTCAAATACCAGTAGAGTCACCCATGGTGGACAGGTTTCAGTGGAGCTTCCAGACTAAGACAGACTAGGAAGAAAGGACTGGTGATCTATTGCTGAAAATCAGTCAAGGAAAGCCTTATGGATCATAACAAAATATTGTCCAATCTAGTGCTGGAAGATCAGCCCCTAGGTTGGAAGATACTCAAAATACACAGTGGCTGCAACAGTGAACTCTAGCATACCAAAAAACAAGAAGATGGTGCAGGACCGGGCAACATTTCATTCTGTTGTCCATGAGGTCACCGTGAGTCAGAGTAGACCCGATAGCAACTAACAACAACAACAACACTATTTCTTCAACTGATCTATTTCCAGTAAGCTCCATGTTGGAAGCATTTTCATTCTCAGGACTGCAAAGAACATGGCTCTGTTTATTTGCCAAGTCCAAATAAGAAAAGCTAATCAGAGAGCACCAAGAAATGAAAACAGACAGATGTTTCTGAGAGCAGAAGTCCAGGAACACAAAACAGCTTCCAACAGGGGTGATGTATATTTTCCTAGTGATTTAAAATGAATATATGCTTATTAGGCAGAGAGAAAGATTTAACAGGTTTCTCGGCTAATGCTGCAATTTTAAATCCATTTAAGATAATTTTCTTTATCTTGAATCTATTCTTCTCAGTAACCAGGATACTTAACTGATTTGTACCAAATCCATTTGAAAAAGAAATAATCTACTCCAAACAAGGGCACCATCTAAATGGAAAAAGAGAAACACTACAAATCTAACAGCAAAATCCTTCTGAGAAGCCAACATACAGCCCTGTCTAGAAAAGGGAGCTTTTCTCCAGCATCTTGATTCTATAACAAATCTCTTTTCTCTGTTTCATAAGGAGAAAATAAATAATTCTTAAACCTGAGAATACACAATAAAATGTCTCACAAGTGAAGCAAGATGTAACCAAACCTTTTAAATGGTGAGAACGTCAATTAAAAAAAAAAAAATCAAACCAATAATGAGATGTATTTTCTCAGCTATCAACATGGCAAAGATTTTTTAAATGCCGGAAGTCAATACTGGCAAGAATCTGGGATTCCAGTAGGAGCAGAATATGGTACATGTTTCATGGAGGAAAATATTACAGTATCAAGAGCTTCCAAAAATAGTCATATCCGGTGATCTCTTATACTTTTAGAAGTGTATATTAAAACTATATGTATCAAATCAATACATGTGAAGATTTGAGTTGGAAGATGTTTTTCAAAGTGTTATTTATAATAATGAAAAACCAGGGCTCCTCCCAACGATGGAAGTAACAATCATTAATAAAATCAGAAAGTGATCACGATATAATGTTAAATGAAAACAAGGATAAAATCAAGGTAGAAATTGGTACAAACTTTCTGGAGGAAAATATTACAGTATGTATCAAGAGCTACCAAAAATATTCCTATCCTTTGATCTATTATACTTTTCGAAGTATGGATTAAGAAAATAAATATCAAATCAATGCACAGGAAGATTTGAGAGGGATGATGCTTAGCAAAGTGTTATTTATAAAAATGAAAAATTGGAAATAACCTATATTTCCAGCCATGGAAATAATGATCATATTAACAACATCAGGAAATGATCATGATATAATGTTAAATGAAAAAAGGATAAAATCAATATTATATATTCTCACAGTCTGTATAGTAAATAGACTCGAAGGCAATATACTAAAACTTTAACAGCTGTCATCTATAAATAATGAGATCATGGTGCCTTTCATTCTTTTTATTGAAAATGTTTTGTATTGAGGACCTTTGTAAATGTTTCTGGATTACTTTTATAAAAATTAAAAATTTTTCCTTAGCTAATATTTCATAATCAACAGCACTCAGTTTACTGGCTGCAGAGGAGACTGAGTGAGATAAAAGCTTTGTTGCTAGTTACAAATCACATGAGAAAATGTCACAGGCTCGGAGTCTACACCATCCCTATGGCTGAGCAAGCTCTTCCAAGTGACCGAATCAGAACTTACTTGGTGGGACGATAATCCGGAATGGAACGATCCAGTGAAATTTTTTCACTGAGGTAGGAATTGTAGCCATACTTCTCATGGGGTCCCTTGGCTTTTTCCTCTTCAGCCGGGGAAAGGGTAGCAGGAAGACCTCCTTTCCCCCGCCCACCATAACCCTCAATGAGCCCAAGGGATTTGGATAAACCTAGAAAAAAAGGGGGAGAAAAAGAAATATTTGAAAACCACCATACCAGGATGTGGCACTTCAATCTCAGATACAGTGTCACTGGAAATTTTAACATTACCTGTCACAGAAAAAAATATGTGCTCCATTTATGAATTCTAGGTATATGGTCAGAGAAAGGAGCCCTAGCAGGGCAGTAGTTAAGAGCTCAGGCTGCTAATCAAGAAAGGTTGGCAGTTCGAATCCACCAGCCGCTCTCTGGAAACCCCATGGGGCAGTTCTACTCTGTCCTATAGGGTCACTTTGTTTTCTGTTTTTTTTCTTTTTTTGGCTCTGAGAAAATTTATATTGAGAGGAAGGTCAAGGCAACTGTGAGTTCTGGAGTTCAAGTCTAGTTACCTATTAGAACCCTGTCTCCTTTCGGAACTAGGGTGGGATGGGAGTCTATATAAGACAGACACCCAAAATCAGCTGCCGTTGAGTCAATTCTGGTGACCCCATATGTGTCAGAGTAGAACTGTGCTCCACAGGGTTTTCAAATGGCTGTGATCTTTTGGAAGTAGATCACCAGGTCTTTTTTCCGAGGCACCTCTGGGTGAATTTCAACCTCCAATCTTTCAGTTAGTAGCTAAGCGCTTAAACAGTTGTGCCATCCACGGACTCCATCTAAGAGAGACCACCTAAACTGGCAGCTACATGGGCCAAGGAGGACACAAGAAATGGGACACACTGGGGCTCTTATTCAAACCGCTTTTCCTTTCTCTGTGGGGCAATGACAACAAGATTAGATATACCCGGAGGAGCCTGGGTCCAACACAGAATAAGAACAAGTAACAGGGAACCGCCAAACTGAAGGCATTTTTGCTTCCTTTCAACAGAGAACTAGACACAGATTTATTTTATCCTGAGTTTAAAGTGTCTAACAGTCGGACATACACCTCCTTGGCTAATGGTTTTATTTAAATTTCATCTAAATGGCAGAAGAAAATACAAAATGCTTGAGAATAAATCAAATAGAAAAAACCCATAAGGGTGATAACCGTGCCAAGCAGAGTGGGATGCCTCTGTAACAAGCCTCATGGAGCAACAGCAAGCTCCCCGGATGGTGGCAGCTTTACACCTATTGTTCCATTATACGACACACACCGCTTGATGGGCAATTTTTAAATCCAACAGTTAGGGATGTTTTACTACTTGGCCAGAAAACTTCTGTCGTTAAGGGCTCTTATTCCCACTTGCCATATTTCAAGTGCTCAAGCCACTGAGTACACACTCACACTTACTCTTCTTGTCTGTCTCTCTCTCACACAAATATACACACACATACACAAAAAACATTTTACCCATAAGAGTCTCATGCTCACTCTGACAGGAAGAACATGAACCAGAAATGTAAACGGCTCCCTTGGCTTTCATGTGGGGCAGCCTGCAGAGAACTGTCTTGTTAGCGGCTGTTGAGTTGGTTTTGACTCATGGCGACCCCGTGCACAACAGGATTGGACCAGTGTAGCCATAAGGTTTTCACTGGATGATTTTCAGAAGGACATTGCCAGGCCTTTCCTCCTAGTCCACTGTAGTCTGGAAGCTCCACTGAAACCTGTTCAGCATCATAGCAACATGCAAGCCTCCACTGACAGACAGGTGGTGGTTGTGCATGAGGTGCATTGGCTGGGAACGGAACCCAGGTCTCCCACATGGAAGGTGAGAATTCTACCACTGAACCACCACGGCCCTCTCTGCAGAGCACAGGAAGATCCAGCCTCCCAGGAAGGCATCTGTAGGACAGCGTAAGGCCAAGATACCTGCTCTGGTCACAGGACAGTTCTCCATCACATAATGGCAGACTGTCATTTCCATTCCTGCTTCTCGGAAAACAAATTTACTCTCTACAATATCAAGATGAAAAGTGAAGGCTGAGCAAACAGCTCAGAGTTGGTCTCAGGTGAACATCACTTTTCTGCCTGAGAATTATTTTCACTGTCCAACGTGCTCTTCAGGAACCCTGACACCTTTTCTCTTCTGCAATCACCCCAATAGCGGCCTCCATTAACTGGCAATTAGGTTACTGTAACGTGTCCTTTGTCATCACCTTTACCACGCTCATCAATCCACAAGAACTCTTCCCATATCAAGTCCCAACACCTCTGCTTGGTTAAACACCATTTGTGATGGAGCATTACTACTGGAAACATAAAATGGTGCAGCCACTTTGGAAAACAGTGACCCAGAAATCCCACTCCTAGGTATATATCCAAGAGCATACATGTCCACACAAAAACTTATACACGAATGCCCAAAGAAGCATTATTCGTATTAGTCAAATGTCCATCAACTGACGAATGGATAAACAAAATGTGGTATGTCTATACAATGGAATATTATCTGGCAATAAAAAGAAGTACTGATACATGTTACACCATGAATAAACTTTGAAATCATTATGCCAAGTAAATAATGCGAGTCACAAAAGACAATATGTTGTATGATTCCATGTACAGGAAATGTCCAGAATAGGAAAATCTATAGAGACAGAAAGCAGATTAGTGGTTGCCAGAGGCTGGGGGAGGGAGACAGGGATGGGAGGAAATGGGGTTTGAAATTTCTTTTTGGGGTGATAGAGATGTTCTAGAATTAGATTATGGTGATGATTGCACTCTCTGTAGATATACTAAATATAAATATACTAAAAACCACTAGACTGTATGCTTTAAATGGGTGAAATGCACGGTACGCAAAAAAGTCTCAATAAAACTTAAAAAAAAAACACCTATGATATTAGAGAATTCTGTTTCCGGTAAGATGGAAGGCTAAAACAACATGAAATTTAGCAATGCTGAATGACTACTTTTAAAATACTTTAAATATACAGCTGAGCTTGTAAGGAAGAAGGGGAAACATCCAGACATAAATTAAAACCGGAGCCAGGAGGGGTGGAAGAATGGGTTGCTCATTAACTGAAGGCTGGAATTTTAGAGCTCAGTCACGCACAGGGTACAGGACCATGGGTTCTCTTAGAGACACAGCATTGAAACTGAGACATCTGCAGAAAGCTGGATCTTTTGAAGGGTATGCCCTCAGAAAAAGGTTGAATTATTAAAAAAAAAAAAAAATTCAAAGACCAACCACAGTGACAGAATAAGGACTATGTTCTCTGAATAAGCTCAGGGTGGAGGAAATTAATCCCCTGAGAAATTCTAACCCAGAACCTGAGCCAACACATGGGCTTATAACCCAAATTTATACTATCCTTAGAGGTCTCAATTTTGTCATTTAGATTGTAAGCTTTTCAAGGGGCACACACGACAGTAATATATAAGTTATTCCGGAGCTGGTGGTACTTCCAGAACAATTTATATATTATTGTATGTTTACATATATATATACCTGTTATATAGCCTATACAAGGGTCTTTGCAGACTCAAACGCAAACCTTTCTGAACAGACACACTCTCAACCCAGACCACGCATAATTCCCCAAGGACAGAGCCCTGCTGAAGAGTTTACTATCAAAAATCACAAAACACACGAGGAAACCATCCACCATGAGTGAAAATCAACAGACATCATCAACAGAACTTTTATGACTCTAATAACTTGAGAGGATAACACCATCTGAAAACGGACTATAAAACAATAATGGTTTAAAAGAAGAACCCAAAGCCCTAAATTTGAATAAAGCACTATGAAGTAAGAACAAATAGATTGGAAAACTATTAACAAAATAAAAATATCTACAAGAGAAAAATGCTGTTATTGAATGAAAAACTTAACACATCTAAAAGAAATTAAACACAGCTGAAAAGAATTAATAAACAGGAAGACAGATTAAAAAAAGATCCGTAATACAAAAAAAGAAAAGAAATGAAATGAAAACCATGGAAGACAAACTTGGAGAGAATGAACAGTCCGATATATATATAAAAAGCATTCCAGAAGAAAACTCAGTGAATGGTAGAGAGGCAATATTCAAAAAGATAACGAAAGATATGACGCAATATGTTTCAGGCAAAAGACATGAACTCCTAGGTTCACAAAGTACAAGTCCCCAGGATAAATCAAAATAAATTTACAAGTAGACACATGGAAGTTAAATGGCAGAATACCAAAGACAAATACAAAATCCTAAAAACAACCACGGAGAAAAGATTAAATACAAAAGAAGGAGAAACACACTAGCAACAGACTTCTTAGAAAGAAAGGTCTGGCGATCTACTTCCTAAAATCAGCCAATGAAAACCCTATGGATCACAATGGTCTGACCCGCAACTGTTCACGGGGTGGCCCAGGACACGGCAGCATTTCAAATTCCATTGTGCATGGAGTCACCGTGGGTCGAGGGCTGACTCAACAGTAGCTAACAACAACAGAGCCGGGGGGGTGGGAGGGCACGGGAAGGGTTGTGTGTCAACTTGGCTGGGCCGTCATTCTCAGTGGTTTGGCAGTTACGATGTAGTTTGGCAGTCATATAATGATGTGATCATCTCTATAATGAGATCTGATATAATGTGATCACCTCCATGATTCTATCTGCTGTGAGTAGCCAATCAGTTGAAAGGGAGTTTCCTTAAGGGTGTGGCCTGCATCCAATCTGTTGTTGTTAGGTGCCGTTGAGTTGGTTCTGACCCGTGGCGACCCTATGTACAACAGAACGAAACATTGCCTGGTCCTGCATCATCCTCACAATCACTGACATGGTTTGAGCCCATAAAATATCTGATGATGTCCTTCTCCGGGGACAATACAGGTGGACTTTTTGGTAAGGCTCATGGGCTTTTGCTTGCTCTGGATCCTGCAGCTGGCTCCTGTTCATCTGACCTCTGGTTCTTGGGACTTAAGCTAGCAGCCTACTTGCGGTCTTGCCAGCTGATTTTGGAACAGGCCTCATAAGCTCAATTACCACCATTGCTGAATAACTGATTCCCACCATAACTAGCCCCCGCTTTGTCTCATGGTATTTTTTCTTCTTTCTCCCTCCTCCTATTCCAGTAAGATTAACTAAAGTTCCTCCTTGGAGGATGGCA